AAAAAAGGAGTAAGAACCCCAAAGGGCGGGAAACGGCAAGCTGGTTCTACAACCTAAGTATAAGAAACACGCCAAAATTGAAGATTTATTTTAACATTTGCATGGACATACGCATGAATGAATTGAATCATAAGATTTGAATCATAATCATAAAATTTTATGCTCAGTATTGCGAATTTTCGTAAATGAGGCGGATATTTTGGTTATTGAAAGAGAGATCCACTTTGGGGTCAAATTTGCAATTTGGGTGGAGCGGCTAGGAAGATGGAGTAAGTATATGGGTGATTCTACAATTTTCAGAACTGTTTCATTGAGGGAGGTGGATTTTCAGAAATTACAAATTGACCTCCACTTGGGGGCATTTCCGGTTTAAGTACCAAAATTAAAAATGGTATATAATATAGGGACCAAAACTGTAATTGTCACAAGTTTATTATAAATAATATTATAAATGGAAGTTTTCCTAAATCGTAAATCGTAAAATATGATCGATTTTTTTATATTTAAAGTTTATTTTAACTTTTGAATCGACTTAGGTATGAACGATTTGAATCGTAAATCATAAAATTTTAAACTCAGTATTGTGAATTTTCGTAAATGAGTCACACGCGATTATAGCTGAAGAGGAGTCGAAGCATACTGCGTTGGTGGCAGATATTTCGGATATTGCAATTTGGGTGGAGCGGCTGGGAAGATTGAGTAAGTATAGGGGTGATTTTGTAATTTTCAAAACTGATTCAGCCAGAATAGTGGATTTCCAGAAATTACAAATTGACCGCCACTTTGGGGGCATTTCTAGTTTAAGGACCAAAATTAACAAAATGTATATAATATAGGGACCTAAAATCGTAAAATTTCATCGATCTGTTGATATTTAAGATTTATTTTAACATTTTACTCCACACAGATATGAATGAACTGAATCGTAAGATTTGAATAGTAAATCATGAGATTTTATGCTCGGCGTTGGGAATTTTCGTAAATGTGGCGGATATTTTGGATATTGAAGGAGAGATCCACTTTGGGGTTAAATTTGCTATTTGGGTGGAGCGACTAGGAAGATAGAGTAAGTGTAGGGGTGATTATGCAATTTTCAGAACTGTTTCAGCCAGGGATGTGGATTTTCAGAAATTACAAATTAACCCCCACTTGGGGGCATTTTCGGTTAAGGACCAAAATTAAAAATGGTATATAATATAGTGGCCAAAACTATAACTATCTCAAGTTTATTATAAATAATATAATACATTAAAGTTTTCCTAAATCGTAAATCGTAAAATTTGATCGATTTTTTTATATTTAAGATTTATTTGAACTTTTAAATTGACTTGGGTATGAACGATTTGAATCGTAACATTTGAATCGTAAATCATAAGATTTTAAACTCGGTATTGCGGATTTAAATGATTCACAGGTGATTTAAATGTATTTTCAAAATCGCAAAGGTAATAAAAGGTTTCTTCTGGGGTGGCTTTAGAAATAAAATAGTTTTGAACTTCTCAAATAGTAAATAAAATAGTTACTATACTTTTTACTAATTATATAATTACCCCATTTATCAAGAGGACATTTTACAGAGGGGGGTACTTTGAATTTTTTTAAGGGTAAATAGCACTTAACCCCCTTGTGGTAACTATAATATAATTTATTATATTATAGTTGTTATCGAACTTTAATTTTTTTAAGGAACAAAAGGTTTATTTATTTTATTCTTTTGGAAAAATCTAAAAAAACATTTCTCTAAAGTTGAAATGAAAATTAAATTTTAAAAAAAAATATGTGCGGTAAAATAGAAAAAAACACAATAATATGTTATATTTCTCATTCTACCTAAAAATACATTAAACTTTTCATTTTATAGAATAATTATTTTTAAATAAAAACAAGAACTTTTGACTTGATAGGGATAATTTAGTCTTTTCCAGTTTTCTATTCAAGGGGGTTATGTGCTAATTTCTTACCATAAGGGGGTTATGTGCAAAATTTCAAAACCACATGGGGGTTATGTGCCTAATTTCATACCATAAGGGGGTCATGTGCAAAATGTCAAAACCACAAGGGGGTTATGTGCCTAAATTCACACCATAAGGGGGTCATGTGCAAAATGTTCAAACCACAACGGGGTTAAGTGCAATTTACCCTTTTTTTAAAATAAACATCAAATCAATTTTGTAGACTCTCGCTTGAAATTTTCATTTAATTATATTAAATTATAACAGTATCAATAGAGGTATTACATTTAGGTGGTATCGACGAAATACCCTCCATAGGTAAATTTAGGGATGCTAAATAAGTAAAATCGAACCAAATTTTTGGTACGCCAACATTTCATACCGTTTATCGAAGTGAACTGAATATACGATTTGGTTCGGTAAATAACCAAATTACACAAATTTTATATAAAAATATTTAAAATGAGGGGTGACTGTAATTAACCAAATAAGATGGGTTTTTTCGTAATTTGGTTATTAAAACTAATTAAAAATATCAGAAAATAATATTAAGATTTGTGCAGTATTTAAGCTAATGTCCCAGCAAAATTACCAACAAAATTTTTCTTGATGCACCACCGTCTTTCCCTTTCCACGTGGCGCTCAAAAGCTCGGTTCTTTTCACACTACCCTCGTTTCCTCTGCATTCCTCCAAAACTCCGTCACTCAGTCGATTCAACTTCGCCGCCGGCGAACGATCTCTCCCGCCTCTTACAAGGCCGCATCCCACGCGCTCACCTCCTCCAACTCCACGCTCGAATTTTCCGGCTCAATGCGCACCAGAGCAACCTCATCGCCACTCGTCTCATCGGCCACTACCATTCGAATTTCGCGCTCAGGGTCTTCCGTTTATTGCGGCAGCCTAATATCTTCCCGTTCAACGCAATCATCAGAGTGTTGGCTGAAGAGGGATCGCCGCTGAGAGCGATTTCTATTTTCAAGGAGCTGAAGTTTCGGCCGCTTCTGCCCAACGAATTGACGTTCTCTTTTCTCCTCAAGGCGTGTTCTAGAGATGGCGTCGGTGTGGATTGCGTGCGCCAAGTGCACTGCCATGTCCTGAAATCGGGTTTCAGTTCTGATTCTTTTGTTTGCAATGGCTTGCTTATGGTTTATGCCAAGGTGGTTAAGGATTTGAGGTCAGCACGCCAGGTGTTTGATGATATGCCTGACAGAAATTTGGTTTGTTGTTGGACGTCTTTGATTTCTGGATATGCTAAACTCGGATCATCCGAAGACGCCCTCAATCTATTTACGATGATGCTCGACGAAAATCTGCTGCCTGAAAGTGATACCATGGTTAGTGTTTTATCTGCGTGTTCAAGACTTACTCCCCCACACCTTGAGAAATGGGTGAAACTAATGACACATATGCTAAAAGAATGCAATAATTTAGCTTCTGATTATGTTAATATCGTGCTCGTTTATTTATACGGAAAATGCCGAAAGGTGGAGCAGAGTAGGGCGAATTTTTATGAGATTTCTGATAAAGGTAAAAGAAGCATTCTTTCTTGGAATACTATGATAGGTACTTACGTTCAAAACGGCTGCCCTTTGGAGGCTTTAACTGTTTTCAAATCAATGATGGAGAACTACGATTGTTGTCCTAACCACGTCACTATGGTGAGCATCCTCTCAGCTTGTGCTGAAATCGGAGACTTAGACCTCGGAATTTGGGTTCACAACTACATGCGAACAAGTGGGAAAAAACATGTACTATCATCCAACGTAAATCTCGCTACTGCATTGATAGATATGTACTCGAAATGCGGGAATTTGGATGTCGCGAGAGAAGTTTTCGCCCAAATAGTCGAAAAAGACGTAGTTTCGTTCAATGCCATGATCATAGGTCTTGCTGTAAACGGCAAAGGAGATGAAGCTTTGACACTCTTCTCCGAAATGCAAGAGCTTCGTTTGCTTCCAGATTCCGGAACTTTCCTCGGTGCCTTATCCGCGTGTAGTCACTCGGGGCTATTAGATAAAGGGCGTGAAATTTTCGACGAAATGACTCGAAAAGATTCTCTAATTTCGCCCAAGCTGGAGCACTATTCTTGCTATATCGATCTTTTAGCTCGGTCGGGTTATATAGAAGAAGCTCTCGGTGTCGTTAGTTGCATGCCTTTTGAGGCTAATAAATTTGTTTGGGGGGCAATTCTTGCCGGGTCGGTGTTGCACAACAGGTTAGAAATAGCTCGAAATGTTTCTTCGATGCTTGTTGGGGTTGATCCCGAGAATTCCGGTGGTTATGTTATGCTTTCGAATTCGTTTGCTTCGGATCTTGAGTGGCGTAGTGTGTCGAAATTGAGGGTGGTTATGAGGGAGAAGGGGGTCGTTAAGGAAAGGGGCCGGAGTTGGATTACTATTGGCGGTGTTGTGCATGAATTTCTTGCTGGATCTGCTTTGCATGATCAAAATAGAAGTTTTTATCAGGTAATGGAATCACTTTTTCGAGAAATGCGAGTGTCTAGTTCATAGATGATTGTACCCTTTTATTTTTCCTTTTTTTTTGAAATATATTTATTTATAAATTTATGAGTAAAAAGCAGTTTACCCCCTAAACAAATGCCCGTTTTGCACTTTGCCCCCCAAACAAAAAAAATTTGCACGTTCTTACCTAAACTCTGGTTTTTGTTGCACGGTGCCTCAAAATTGGAATTTTCAGGCCATTTTGAACGGAATCATACACACGTGCTTTTCACGTGAGTTTTCAAAGGGGCAAAATAGTCTATTCACTTATCTTCTTCATAAATTACAAAAAAAAAAACTACTGCCAAAATTCGAAAAGGTGGGAAAATCTGCAATTGGCTGGGAATGGGAATGGGTTTCCACTTAATTTTCTTCCCGGACGAACACCACCAAAATCAAGAACAAGAAACCACCACCGCCGCCATTACCACCGCCGCCGCCACCCCCACCAACAAAAAATCCAACAATTTCAATCTTTTCCCAAATTCATCACCACTCAGGCGCAACAATTCGAACCACCACCTCCTAAACAAAGTCCAATCCACAAGCTCCATCTGCTTGCTCCTCCTCTTCACACTCTCCACCCTATATCCCCTCCGCCGCCACAAAGGTCGCCGCCCGCCTCTTTACAAGGAATGGGCAATTTATACAGAAGAGGAAGCAGAGCAATGAGGAAACCGAGAATGTTGAAACTGTTCCTCAGGCTCTTCCACCATCAATGGCCGCCCCTTCCGCCGCTCTACAAGCCGCCCGTTTTCGTCAAGCCACTTCCTCCGCCTATCCCCATTTACACACCCACCTCTAACCCACCCGTTTCTAAACCCCCAGTTTACAAGCCGCCCATTTCTAAGCCGCCGGTTTATAAGCCCCCCATTAAGCCGCCCGTTTCTAAGCCACCGGTTTACAAGCCGCCTAAGAAACCATGCCCACCAATAGTAAAGCCGCCTAACCCGAGCCGTCAGTATACAAGCCACCCGTCCACAAACCTAAGCGGAAGCCGCCGGTTTCCGTGAAGCCACTTCCACCACCAATCCCGATCTATAAGCCACCGGTTTACGTGAAGCCGCTTCCACCGCTAATCCCGATCTCCAAGCCGCCGGTTTATGTGAAGCCACTTCCACCACCAATTCCTCTGTATCCACTACCACCGTCCTGTAAGAAACCTTGCCCACCACTTTATGTTGCTGTTGTTATATTCAAATTCACCACGAAATCGATTATGAGGGTAGAGGGGATCTCGTCGGTGCCGCCGTGGTTTATCTAGATGAAGAAGAAGCCAGTTCGAAATGGCCGATTTGAGTGTAGAAATGGCGTCGGCAGCCCTTCTTTTTCTTTCTTTTTCTTTTTGTTTTTTCTTTTTGTATTTTGTTTTTTGCTTTTTTTTTTTTTTTTTTAATTAATAATTTATGAATAAGGTAAGTGAATAGACTATTTTGCCCCTTTAAAACTCACGTGAAAAGCACGTGTGTATGATTCCGGTCAAAATGGCCTGAAAATTCCAATTTTGAGGCACCGTGCAACAAAAACCGGAGTTTAGGTAAGAACGTGCAAATTTTTTTTATTTGGGGGGCAAAGTGCAAAACGGGCATTTGTTTAGGGGGTAAACTGCTTTTTACTCTAAATTTATTGAAAATGTTTGTTTGAGTTAATTTAACAGCAACCTTTGTTTAGTTACTCGGCAACGATCAGACAAC